AAACAAAATTCATCAAAAAATCGTGAAACTCAAAAACTAACTAAACAAAATTCATCAATATCGACAAATACAGAACTATTACAAACAAATTCAAATCAAACTATCAATGTAAATCAAAATGATACCGATAGTCAATCTGTACGATCATCTGAATTGAATAATAATAATAATAATGATAAATCAGCAAGAGATGAATTAAAAGTACCACGACGTCATCAATCATTTAATCGTAAGTTTGAACAATATAGAAAATATTTAAAATACAATTTTTTAAATTTTTTAATGAAATTTTCAAAATTTTCATTAACAGTCTTCAGTGAAATACATTTTGAACTATGCCGAATGTATTTAATCCATAAAAATGTTTTCTTTTCTTCCTAAGAACATAACAGAAACTCATAATTTAAAATACGAAGTTCTATTAACAATTTTATAAGTAGATAAAACTGATATTAAAACATACATATTTTTTTTTTAATGAAACCATACTTGTTTTGTGAAATATGACCTACAAGGAATGTTGAAATATCGAGCTAGAAACTTGATCTCCTCGCAGACTATAACAGATATCGTTGGGAACCGCTCATTACAGACTGTGACAGACATCTTAGCAATACTGTCTCTCGCCGTGTCACCGACTGTGACAGACATTGTTGATATACGATCAAAGACCGTATGTCAATAGCATCTTGTTCAAATATATAAATTACTTCCTTATTGCATTTCTGAAGAATTAAATAAAAGAATAATGAGGGATTGTCGTCTAAAATACATAAAATACAACACCTTCCGTCTGATTAACAACAGCAGTTACATTGCCTTTCACATTTTGAATCTACAGGAATTGCGCAAACAGTTCTTTTTATTATTTGATGAAACTCCATTTAGAACACATATGTCTTTGTAAAAAATTAAATAAAATGTCTAGTTTGTCCGATTTATTTTTCATAGTGTTGGATATTTCAAACTCTAACACTTCTGCTATATTTAATCTATACTGGAAGTTTTAGCTATACAAGAGCAGAGAAAATAGATTTCACCTGTTTTAAAAAATAGATTTTTGAGAAAGCTTCAGATTTTCCTCTTAGGAAAATAAGATCATTGACTTTATATACAGAGGTTATCAAAATTATAGACCCCACTCATATGAACATGCAAAAATATTTATTTTATTTCAAAAATGAATGATATCAATCTGTTATTTGCGCGTCTATGTAAGACTACTTAAGTACTATCTGATATCCTAAACTCCCTCTTTCATGTCTTGCTCTTTGAAGAAAAAATTGAAGAAAACTGAAAAATATCTGTACCATAATTATAGAC